CTCAAGAAATGAAAGAGCAGATCATCAGGATGTTCATTATTGTTTTGCCTCTGTAAAGGCAGCAAGAGAATTTGCAGCCCTATTTCCGACCTTTTCAGTAATTGTGTCACAAGATGATGAAGCCAAGGTTCCCCTCGGCATTTCTGCAGTTGGAAAAAGTTTTAAAGCTATACAAAGTTACAATGAACCAGTTACTATTCCGAACCATGACTTTCCTGTTGGTTTACAACAGAAACTTACTCTATCTGTTATTTAATCATCGATCCAAGTAATACAAATAACATACTTCGTAAAGGCCAATTGTCAATATACATCTACTCACAATACAAGATAGGAACAAGCTCAGTGACCTATATGAATGATCTATATTCTTTAACGAATAACAGCAGTTTTGACGATATGTTAAAGGTTGATAATAAAATCAGACCAATCTAGGTCCGCTTTGTAGATGGGGGCCCTGATGAAAATCCTCATTATCTGAAAAATATCATCCAATATTGTGATATCTTTTGCTCTTTCAACCTCGATTATTTGACTCTTAGAACTCATGCTCCAGGTTAGTGATCTAGTATCGACTAAAATTATTTAATTAGCTAATCAAATTTGTCAAAATCATAATTTCACCTAAAATAGTAGTTGAAATTGTAATATTAATCAATTAAAAAATTTACAATAAATAGCCAACTAAATATTAGTTTATTCTATTAATTACTCTAGGTCATTCAGCATACAACCCTGTTGAAAGGAGTATAGCATCCCTTTCAACAAAACTAGCAGCTATAGTCCTGCCTATTAACAAATATGGTACTCATCTTGACTCACAGGGTAAAGTTGTTGACCTGGAGCTAGCAGAAAAAAATTTTAAATATGTGGGTAACCTTCTCTATAACCTGTGGAATAAGGATAAAATATTCGGAAAGCTAGTTATGACTGAATACGTTAATACGATAAGTACCCCAGCTTCAGATATATCTTGGGAATGGATAGAGATCCATGCAAGAATCTGCAGATACTCTTTAGATGTAAAGAAATGTAATAATATCAAATGTTGCTCCTCTAAAAGGTGCGAGGAGGCTGGTAACCTTCTTGCTTCAAATAATGGTTTTATCACCCTTTTAGTAATGGGGAAAGACAGCCACTATATTAATTTGATACATCTATTAGAGTATCTTGACAAGGAAAAAATACCGAGGTATGACCAACATTGCCTCTTCATAGCTGATAATTATATAAAATACACCTGTTCTATTTGTGGGAAATATTTCCCGACAATTTCGATGGTTCTTGATCACAAAAAAAACCAACATTTAAAAGAAGCCTGTGGACCTGGAAGGCCAAAAAATGATGAGACAATGGCAAAAGAAGTCCGTCTTACTAAATGTGGACCTGGAAGGCCAAAAAAAACTGAAACGGCAAAAAAGCAAAAAACCAAATAAAATTTTTCATTTATTATTTGAAGGGAAAACCTGTAATTCTTATTAGATAAAGAATTCCAGATTTTCCCTTTGCAGTACTTATTTATTTAATAAATTTCTAATATAAATAAAGATTAATTTTAGTAAAGAATCATAGCAAAACTTTAAAAAAGCTTTCATCATTTTACCATTATATCCTGTCTATGATCTCTTATCAAATCTCGACTAAATAGTATACATCCATTAAAGAAGCCTTATTTTAATTTAGTCTTGTAGTTCAGCGATAAGTTAATTTTTCTATTGCTATCGATAGTAAAATGCATACGATCCAAAAACTTCAAGATCTATATGTATGTTATAATTTAAAAATGATTAACTGTTAAATTTTGATATTTTTAATAGCGACTTTCATTAATCTTATATTTGCTGGCCTATTATCAACCGCTGTCTATCATATCAATAAATCTAAAATTCATTACTTTTGAATCCAGTTTTAGTAGAAGTGTGAACGTTACAGTATCTGGAGACTAAAAAACTCTATTAAATATAATTCGGTAATGTGATTATTAATGTTTATAGCATTGATTTGCTATAACGGCTAGCTTGTAATCCTACCAATTAAATTCATACACGTACCCAAGAAACTGCTTAAGCCCCTGCCAAAAGAAAAAACCTACAAATAAATAGCCTTAGACTCTGGTCGGAAATTAATATCGAATGACTACAATTTGAGAAAGGGATGAAATTGACAATTTAATAAAAAAAATTTTATTCCATAATTCAATTTAAAATAATTTTAGAAACATTTTTTATATAAG